AAATCATTACAGGAACATTGACCTGAACAGACTAGGGGTATTTTCCTAAGCTGAAACTTTCCTAGAGGTGTAGCTAAGAGCAACCGTACTCCCCCAGCTTGAAGGCCTGATATCTCCCCCTGGTGCAGGCCGTCCCTGGGGAGATGTGGAAGGCAGTGCTGACATGTCTTTCTTTTCCCTGTTAAGTCACTGGCTATGACTCTGCACTGAGCCAGGCTCAGAGAGCACCAAGGAGCCCACCCCTGGCCTCTCCACTCTCCTTCTCCCCTCCTTGCCCTCTCAGCCTTTCTTGCTTGCTTTAGGTCAGATATTTACTATTTAAAAAAATTCTAGATTGTTTAAAAAATACTGGCTTAGAGGCTCAATCACCTGGGGGATGGGTGAACCTTACTTCAAGATCCCAGGCCTCTGTGTCCTCAGATAGAAGAGTGAGAGGGAAATGCACCTGGGTACCAACCACTCAGATTTACAAAACATTAACTTTATGCCATGTTGACTTCAGAGTCTTAAAAAAAGGAGTAGAGCCCACTAGGATGGGTTTAATTTTTTTTTTTTTTTTTTTGTATGACTGAGTCTCACTTTGTTGCCCTTGGTGGAGTGCTGTGGCATCATAGCTCACAGCAACTTCAAACTCTTGGGCTCAAGTGATTCTCTTGCCTTAGCCTCCAAGTAGCTGGAACTACAGGCATCTGCCATAATGCCCGGCTACTTCTAGAGGTGGGGTTTCACTCTGGCTCAGGCTGGTCTGGAACCTATGAGCTCAGGCAATCCACCCGCCTCGGTCTCCCTAGTGCTAGAATTATAGGCATGAGCCACTGCACTTGGCCAGGATTCGTGTAATTTTTAAGAAATGGAAAATAACTCCTCACAGCCTCTGCCTGGGAGAACCAGAGAGTAGGACTATCCTGAGAAGGAGGTGCAGGATGTTTTGGGAAGACATTGTCAGAGGAGTGGCTTTGAGCTGGCTCTGAAAGAATGAATAGGACAGAGTAAGGAGTCATGGCAGGGAAGGCTCTGACAACGTATGATCACAAAAGAGCCTGATGAGAAGTCTGGCTGGCGCCACTGCCTCAATGGCACTACCTGGGGCCTGTGACCTTGGCCGAGTTACTCAAGTTCTCCACCTGCAAAATGGGGAAAACATCTGTTACCTGCAGCATTGTGAGAATCAGACAGGATAAAGTCTGTAAAGGAAGTGCCTTCTGGTGAGCAGCCCCTCCTCATGGCCTCAGCTGGAGGGTCCCCCCGTGTCTCTGCTGCCAAAGGTTGGTTTAGGAATGACAAGAACCTGGGGGAAGCCATTTGAAAGGTTAAAATGGGAGGACTGCTTGAGGTCAGGATTTGAGACCAGGTTGGGCAACAAAGCATAGATCTCCTTGCTATTTTACAGAAAAAGGAAAAAAGAAAAAAAGAATTGACACGAGAACAGTTTGTTCTTGCGTTCAGTTCAGCCACACCAGGGGGCCTGAAGCACCCCTACTGAACTCTGTGGAAACATGCACCACTACAACTCCAGGGTAAGGTTACTAAGTTTGGCTTCCAGACTATTTGTATTCGAGTAGCCCATTTCTGATCTATGGGTCTGGGTTAGGGTCAGTTATAGTACCCAGAGGGTTCAGAATGAGCTAGAACCCAAATCATCTGATTCCTGAGGCCAGAAACTCAAGGAATGTCAGTGAATCCCATGTGCATGAGCCCCATGCAAAGCCACCAAAAGACAAGGAGTTAAACTACACCCAGGTTTTGGAGACGGAGGAAGCAGTGATGAGCTTCCAGGGCCCTAAGATTCCCACTGATGGTTTCAAGTAGTGTTTTTCAGTTTTGTTCTTGAAAAAGGAGGTGAATTCCAATTTTCAATGCACTCTGCACACATTTCTGATTGATTTTTGTTTGTCTAGAGACTCTAGGATTTGCCAAGTCTCCATCAATAAACTAGAGAGGATTTAGGGGAAAGGTAATTAAAGAGGCAAGATGGAGACATTGAGCTGCCCCCCCACCCCTCCCCACCTGCAGAGGGGGGCTGTGGTTACAGGAAGTGCTCAGGGAGGGGGCTACCAGAGGATTTGCGGGGCAAAGCCTATCCAGTTGGAGCCATGGGAAAGTCTGATAAGGCCCAGGATTTGGAGTCAAAAAACTTCATTTCTGAGTCCTAGTTTTGAAAAAGAGATGAGGTAACTCTGAGACTTCAGGCAAGTCCTGTAACTTTCTTGCTTCCTCATTTGTAGAATAGAGATAGCTCAAAACCTACATTGTGTTGCTATGCTACCCACACTGGTCAGCACCAGCCAGCCCCTGGCGTCCTGTCCCTTTTACTCCCTGGCAGGAAGGTCAGCTCAAAAAGAACACCTGCTGAGTGGGACCTTGATCTGCTGGCCCCAGGTGACTGCCAGAGCTCAGACCAGAGACTTAAGGATTGTTTCAAAATCATGAGCTGCACAAGCAGATTCTCTCTGAGAATTTGAAAGGAAATCAGAACCCACTGATACTAGTCTCCAGACACTGGAGAAGGGAGGGTGGGTGCCAGGCTGGGCCATTTGCAAGATGGGGAAAGGGAGGGAGGGAAGAGGAGCGAGAAAAGGAGAAGGCAAAAGGCCAAGAGCCCTTTCATCTGCCCGTTTCTAGTTCCAGCTGGCTTGAGGCCCGCCGAACACTATTTCTATTCTCTGATCCCCGACATATCAGCTACCATCTCTATCTTTTCTATTTCTTGAACTCTCATGAGGCACCTGGAAGAGTACCTGATGTGCCAGGATAAGCCTGAGGGTCCAGTCACTGGGATCTAACGTCCCTGGAGGTGCCCTTCACCTTCTCTTCCCAACACCCCAAGCTGCTGTCATTTCTGTCTCTGACTCAGAGATGCTCATCTCTCTCTCCGCTCTTTTTCCTCTACCCCCACTCCCAACAGCAGCTGATGAGAGCAGGACCTTGTCCTCCCTCCCCTGTGCTCTCTCTGCAGCACCTGGTAACACCTGGCACACGGCAGGGCCTCAGGCACTATTTGAGGGCTGGGAGACTCTACCCACCTGATCACTCAATTTGCCGGAAACTGCTGGCTCTTCCTCCTTGTGTTGGGGCACAACTTCCGGGATGCTTCTGCTATCAGTTCTCTCTTCCCTAACTGCTTTGCCACCACCCCATGACTGCTCACCTGGCTGGGCAACACCTCCCGCGCCCCACCCTTCTCTCAGTCCTGGAGGGATCCCTGGCACACACACTTGTCAGTTCTCCACCCTCAGCTGGGTGCTCTGGGCCCTAGAGTAACGCTGTGCTCACCCTTCCGGCCTCATCTCTTTCATTCAGCTTTGGCTTCAGCCACAAAACTGCTCAACTCTGCCTCTGTCCCCAAAGTCCCTTCTTCTTGGAAGGCTACACTCATTCCACCTCTCCTGTGACCTCATCAACTCTAACTTTTACCCCTCGACTCAGCCTTCACCCCTTTCCAGAAGACATACTTGGCTTCTCCGGGCTGGTTCATCACCCTCCCCTTGGGTGCCCAGATTCCCTTGTGTTTCTGTCTTATTAGAACACCTGCCTGGCTGGGCTGTCACTGTTCTCTTGTCTGTGTTCTCCAGGAGTTGGTAATGAGCAGCCTGGCACTTCCTATGAACTTGAGGAAACCTTTGTAAACATTGGGAAACAGACAGACCTGGATTTAATGCCTGCCCTGTTCTTCTCTAGCTGTGTGTTTTGGCAAATCGTTTAACCTCTCTAAGCTTCAGTTGCTTCAACTGTATGAAAGAGATAATAATACTATTGAAACCACAGGGTTATTGAGAAAACTAATGGGCAGCATGGCCCTAGCGCCATGCCTGGGTTGCAGGCAGGGATCCTCTCCGTTGGCTACTGATATAACTAAGAAAAACATTTCCACAGACTTCTGGGGTGAAAGGTCTTCAAACATCAGAGCTAAATCTGCTGATCTATGGAAGAATTAAGATGTCTTTTGGAAAACAACAACAAGAACAAATCTTCCTTACATGTTCCTTCAAGGAAGTTAGGAAACTTGTTAAGAAACCAGTCATCCAGGACTAACCGTGATTGAGATTTTAAAGTGGAAACAGACAAATTTAAAGGAAAACTTAGGGGTGGGGAGGACGGAGAAGACTTGGAAATGTTAAGGGACTTAGAGGCACAGGTGGCCAAATGTAAAAGGTGGCAGTGAGCTGTTGGCGGAGCCAGAGCAGGGCGGAGAGCCAGAGCCAGGACCGAGCACCCCGTGGAGTAGGTGCCACCCTTCCAGGGCCGTCAGATGCTGGGCGCCCCGGGAACTGGGAGCCCCCGGACTTGTCAAATTGGCTGTAGAAATTCTAGCCCTTCTCAGGAGAGTGTAGCAGGGGGAAGGCAGGTGGCAAGGTGGAAGGCAGGAAGTAGATGTTTTTAAAACCCTGGCAGCGGCTGCCGGCTGCCCGGAGAGGTTACGGGAGAGTGGGAGCAATTCCCAAGTAACCCGAGCAGGCTCAGGTCCCTGCCGTCGCTTCCACCCTCATGACTCCCCTCGAGGAAAGCCAAGGGTGAAAAGCCGGTTAGCCCAGGTGTCGGCAGGAGGCGTTCTAGGCAAGTCTGCGCAGCTTGGAAACCTCAGTTTCTGCCTCCAGACAGTGGGTTTGCAGCCCCCGCGGCGGGGAAAGCAGATCTCGGAGGCCCGCTGGAGCCCGGCCCTCCCGGTCTGGGGACGTCCAATCTCGCTCCGTCCGGCCGCCCCTGGGGCCCCGACTCGGAGGGATCGCCAGGGGGCCAGAAGCGGGACTGGGGACGGGGTGCACTGGCACTGGAGCTCCGACGCTCAGCCCCGGGGGGCTCCAGAGATTCCCCCGTGGGGGCAGAGGCGGGGCGGCGCGCCAGGCGGACCCCGGGTCCGAGGGCCTCGGGTGCGGCGGCCGCGCCAGGAGGTCCGGCCACGGGCGTGACCTCACGGGGAGGGGCCAGCGCGGCGGGCCGGGCGCGGAGCCGAGCGCCGAGAGCGCAGCGCCGGAGCCGAGCCGCGGGCAGCGCATGCAGGGGCTCCGATGGAGCGGTACAAAGGTGAGAGAGCGGGGTCCCCGCGGCGCGCACCCACTCCCTTCCCGCCCAGCACGACGCGGGGAAGGAGGGATGGGGCCAGTCCCGCCGGGACTCAGGTGAGCAGAGCCGGCTGTCCCTGCCCCGCCCGGACCTGGGTCGAAGAGGGGGCGACCGCGGCGCCGAGCGCCGGGCTGGTGAGCTCCTAGGTGGCGGCCGCGGCCCTGGCGCTTTAACCCTACCATGAGCGGAGGGCTGGGGTCAGCAGTGGGGGGCGTGGCGGGGCTTCTCACCTGTTTACCCTATCCGCTCGGGAAAGATGCCTGGGGCCGAGGAGACCCCAAATAAAGTCAGAACCATGCTGCCATGCTGGGGGGCAAAGGGACGAATTGTGGGGTTCTCTCGCTGGGGTTTTCCTCCCGGGCCGGGGGCTTCCTGCAGGCCCGGGGAAAGAGCCTGCTCCGGGAAAAGCGCTCGGGCAATGGGTGGGGTGGGCGCTCAGCTCCGTTCCGAGCTAGGTCGGGCCTCCCCAAACGTCCGGTCGGCCGCCCAGTGACCTTTTCTCTTCGAGCCCTTCTCTTCTCCCCCACCCCTAAGCAGGGAGGGGGTGTGGGGGGTGAGGAGCAAGCGGGGGCCCAACAGGTGGAGAGTCAGGAGGCGTCCCGCCCCGAAGGCTTAGCCCAGTGCGCAGCTGGGCGAGTTTGGGGTTTGGGCCGGGCCGGGGATCTTGGCCAAACCCCGGTGGGCGGACCGTCCCTGGTGTGCCCTGTTCCCAGTCAGCACCGATGCTTTGAGGCTCAGGGCAGGAGTCTAGAAGCGACGGAGTCAGACCTTTTGAAAAGGGATCTCAGAGTGCTGCCCCTTAAGCGGGGCTCTGCAGGCAGTCCCTACCCCATTTTCCTTTGGAAAAGCCTCTTGCCCTCTCTTGTGCTGGTCTGGTCTCAGCCCGACCTGCCAGAGGAAATACTGTTTCTATATTTGTTTCCCCCCCGGGAGAGAGTCATAAAGGGGAACGCTCAGATTCCCAAGGAATCTCGCTCCGATGGTTTCTGGTTTGTGAAACTGACATAAAGGGACCTTTGGGGACTGGCTTTGGTTCCCTAAGCTGGTAATGTGTTTGGGCTTTGCTTTGCTTTTCCTTATCCCGATCCCCTGGTTACTGGTGAGGGCGAAAGGTCCAAATTCCAGACAGCACTTCCCATATTAAGGAAGGGTCTTTGAGGACAAGTAGGGAGGGGGGTAGGCCTGGCTAAATTATTAATAATTGGCCATCTTCGCTCTCTCTCTCTGTGAACCCTTCCCGGACCCTCTCTTACATTCCTAACTGGGTTAATTTTTTTCCTCTCTCATTCTGGTGGGGTCATGTCAGTTTTGTAACTGAGTGACTGTGCCCTTTTGCAGTCTCAAAAGCTTGAAGAAGCCACTGTCCTTTTCCTTGCGAAATGACAGTTTTTGGATCCCTTCCCCCCCACCCCCCCTTTGCTTTTGGGGACGGACCCGCTCTGGGAGGGAGGCTGACAGGAAGTGTTGGCCTGTGGGGTCCCTTCCAGCTCCCAAAATTGTGGAGGGGTGTTATTATGGCTCCAGGTTGAGGGTGGGGGTTGCAAGCGCTTTCTCAAATCAGCATATTCATCTTTCTAAGTTTGGGCAAATAACATTTGGGGCTTCCTTTCCAAATGCCCAATTGCTGTCAGAAGATTTTTGTATTAATAGCTTTTAACTTGGCCCTTGACCTGATAAAATCTCCCTCCGTATCTTTCTCTCTAGTCAGCTTAATATCCTCCCACCCTCAAAAAGGATCAGGGGCTTTTGCCAAATGAAAGAAACTTAGTTTTCAGTTCAGGGTGTTTATGTTTTTGATAACATGTATCTGCCTCATCATTTTGCAGTAAATCAGACTGAAGGAGTGATAAGTGGATAATTTGAGAGTTCTCTGGATTGAAAAGGCCGGTCCAAGTCCAATTCCAGTGTTTGACTCACAGGAAAAATCTATTTCCAGTCTCACTTGTGTCCTGCTGCTAATATTTTAATTATTTACAGTATATTTTTATTATATTTTATTATACCTTTCACTGAGAAATTTAGGGATTTTTCCTCCCCATTTTCTTGAGAGGCAGATGAGTTGTACTTTGAACTCAGTGAATGGAAAAGTTGGTTTGTGCAAAATGTAGCCCAATGTCTGATTAACCAGGGCAATTCTCACTGGCCTCAGTGATTTTCTCTTGTTTGTCTGAAATTGGGGCTTTTTTTTTTTTCTTTTTAAAGGTAAGATTGACTAGTTACGGAATGATTCGGTATAGTGGTTAAAACAACAAAGTGAAATGGGAGAGCAGGTTTCACTTGGACTCTCAGAGCATAAGTGAAAATTGTAGGGAAAAATTCTTACTATGTGATACTTTTAAAAATTGTATAAATGCCTCATTCTATGCGTCCAAATTTCTAATTTTGAGCTCTCCCTCTCCCAGATAAGTAGAATGCCTTTTCACTGCATTCGGAGTCTCAAAATGTTTTCTCTAATTTGTAAATCTTATAAAGCAGTTAGTTATTGTAGGAGAAATTGTTTTTTTTCTTGTTCCCCAGCCTGCTTGTTACAGCTTGTACAATCTTCAAAAATACCCTATCATTTTTAGGCTCTGGGTTGATTTTCCATTGTCCTGAAGGATATAAAGAGAGGTCTGGAAATAATGGGTGGTTAGGATATCACCCTATGTCTAATGCAGAAAAGCTTCCAGAATTTCTTACCAATCCCTTCCAAGATATTCTGCTAGATACCCATGGCTCTCCAAAGCAAAAACAAGGAGCGTGGGAGTATGTGGGAGTCTCTTCCCAGAAAGATGGTGTTTTTATGAGCGTTGCCATAAATAGTGATGGTAAAATGGCTGTGTCTTGTATGTGAATCTCTTTAGTGTTGAATAAGCAATATGACCCTCACCAATACCCAGGATATGATGCCAGCTTCTACAGGGTGCTTTGAGACGTTCCCCATCCTTTGTTGTTTACATATTCATGACTGCCGTAAGAGCATCCTTGTGTCACCATGCGTGAGCCCATTGTCATGTGGTAAAGGATTCTGGTTCCTACTGTTATCCCAGCTGGTGAGTGTGACCAGGGCCAAATATGACTGACCTACTATCTGTGGATTGCACTTGGAACAGCCATTTGGATGCTTCCTAAGATTGTGTCACACTTGGATCTAAACAGGCATGGTCGAGATACTCAATTTGGACTACCATAATTGGTTGAAAGTATAATTATTCTTTTCCTGTCTTCTTTTATTTCTGAATCTGATCTCTCCATTCCCCACTTACCTCCAGGGCATAGGAGGCAGTATAAATTATAGAGTCAAGCCAGTAAAACAGTTTCAAGCTTGTATGGGAATCCTGAGATGGGTGGTCAGGGAAGTTCTGAAAAAACAAAAACAAACCTATAAGAGATGGGCAGATAATATTCACTCTACCTTCAGAAATCATCTCTATTTGTTATTTTTCCGTGCCTAGGAGCTCAGGTTTTTCCCTGTTGAAATTCTACCTAAGCCAGTAGTTCTTAACCTTTGGTGCACACAGAATCATCCAGGGAGCTTTAAAAAAATATGGAAGTACAGGTCCCACTCCAAATTGATTTAATTGGCCTAGGGGTAAGCTTGAGCATTGTAGTTTGTAAAGGTCTCTAATTCTAATGTGTAGCTAAAGGATATTTAAAAAAAAATTCAAACTAGAAAAATAGATGAGTAATAGATAAATAATACACACATTCCTTATCTGGAAAAGTAGAACCAAGTGAAAGGGATCTCCCCTCCAAACTCACATGATGTACCTTAACCAAATCTCATAATACCTGCAGGTGTCTACCGTAATTTACCTTCAGCTTTTAAGCCTGTGGGAACCCTGCTAAAAAAACAGTCTCAAATGTGGTGTTTTACAGTCCTGAGCACAGGGTTTGCTCATTGTACTTGACCTTAAGCCCTCCTGACTTTGAAGTTGCGTGGGAGCCCTTGCTGCTGTGGCAATGAAATGATCAGGAACAGAAATATTGAGAGGTTGCTTTTGGTGCTGAGAGGCCAAGCAGAGTGGGAGAATTCTTCTTTTCACCCTTCCCTTCTTCTGAAGGGGTGGGAGCTCTGGGAACCAGGCTGGGTCCCTCACAATTAAAGGGCCAGGAAGGGCCAAGGAGCTTCAAAGCTTAGGAGACTGTGCCAGTTTTCTTCTAAATCCCTTTAATGATGGGAAATGTTTCTCCAAAGACTCTGTCATTCAGAGGAGGGAGGCTTCCCCCAAGCCATGGGAGGATGGCGTGTGTGTCTAGAGCCCCCACCGAGACAGGAAGGATAGCAGTCACACTGCAGTGAGGAGCAGAGGCTCAGATGGGGTCTGTTTCCTTGGGCAAGTCGCTGAGTTCTCCTGGCCTCAGTTTCCCCCCCAGAAAACAATCTCCCATCTCACTCTCCAGCGACTCCTCAATGCTGGTTGCTCTGTGGTCACTGAGGAATCTTTGGAAGGAGGATATGTCTTGCAAGGGAGGAGAGGGAAGCGAGGGAGGGAGTGTGTGGGTGGGTCGTCCAGCAAAGGTCAGTTTAGGATTGTGATTCTTATAAATAAAACCAATTTCCTGTTGCGAGCTGGAGAGTAGCAGACTTAGCGGGAAATAGAATGCTGTAGGCCATATGAGGAATTCATTTCTGAAGGACTTTTTTAGGACTATGTCTCCAAAGATTGTTAGCAGAGTCCAGAGCCCCTGGCTGGAAACACAAAGGGCTATTTACTCCCATTTGAGAGACAAGTCAACTGAGGCCTATGGAGATTAAGCACTAGTCCAGAAAGTTAGAAATAGGATTTGATGTCCATAACAGTTGGGTTTCTAAATGGTAGAATTCCTGTTCAAGGTTACATTTAGAAAGAAGTGTCCAAAGTCAGTTCAGAATCATTTTTTACTGGTATCCCTGTGGCCTGGAAGGGACTAACTTTTCAGTTAAACACCTTCAGATGTGGGCCTAGCCCACGTCTCCTCCTCCAGGGATCCTCCCCTGA